GGCAACTATTAACTGCAGCAGTGCCTTTTAAGGGAACGTAAAAGACTGTAGTTCGCTTTAAGAGGCAAGGGTGGGCGGGAAGGGGTCTGCTCGGGCCAACTTCCAGATGCCTGGTGCACACCTGTTCCTCCCAGAAGCCATCATTGATTATGTGGACCGCACACGCAATCTGTTCTCCCTGCTGGAGGAAATACAGGTGAAACCCCTTCAGCACTCCCTGCCAACAAGGATGCTCTGCCTTTTGCTTTGAACAGAGAAGACTGTTCCTAAAATGGGAGGAATCATCCGGGGAAGACAATCTAACAAGAGAAAGTCAGTGAGCATGGAAGGATCTACCATAAACCAAAAGGGCAAGAGGGTGAAAAGGAAAGAAAATTATCCAAGGTGTCCATGACTGAAGAAGTGCTGAGATCTCGTGGCAGGGTTGCTCTGGCTATGAGATCACAAATCAAACTGCCTAAACCTCCTCCCCCTTTGTAGGTTCTGTCTTTGGGCAAATCTGCAGGCAGCACTCACATGGCTTCCTCTGGCTTCAGCGTGAATAGGAGAGAATCAGTGAGTAGGAGACACGGATTGTGTCCCCAAAGCACTGGTCCCTAGCTATGCCACTTGAGAATCTAAAGTGCAGTCTCTCGGTTGATACCTTCTGGGGTTCCTCTATTTATAATTTTAATCTGTGAAATAGGGGCAATGATAACTGTTTTGAATCAGGAGTTCTTTAGTAACTAGGAAGACAAATCTCACCAAATTAGCTCAGGCAAGGGAGGTGACCATCAGAATGAGAAAGTCAATTTCCCAGACCCTGGAAGTGCAGCCAGGGTTAGGGCACGATGACAGCGGGGACCTGGCGCAGAACAGGGGTGCCCAGGACTGGGTTCCCCTCCTATGTGGACCCACGTTCTCTCTGCTTTCACTTCTCTCCGCTTCTCCTATCTACACGCGGCCCGCCCTGGGTTCCCCAGCAGCCCTCTCTGGTCTGGAATCTGTGTCACGTGACAGAGTACACAGAGGTGCTGGTGGCATCAGCTGAGATCCTGGGCTCTCTCTCATCATCTGTGGTTTGTGGGGGAAAAAGAGGACCTGAGGGTGAAGGGCAATCCCTTTGGACCAGAAAAAAGAGGATGGTTTCTAAAAAAAAAAAAAATAGGCATATGAAGTAGGAAGTCGGCAGTTTGGCAGAAGAAATGATAGGCTTCACTAACCTAACATTTTATCTAACAAGGGTCTTGTGACGATCACGTGGCATCTGAAACACACAGGAAAGCATTTTCTAATCTGTGCAGTGCTCTGTACATCTGCAAGGTGGTGGCCACCTTATGCAAAACTCCCAACGGTTTCACATCTGTGCTACCCTTCGGCAAGAGGAGACCATTCACTGCGGTTGACTCGGAATGACACAGACGGGGAAACTGGCGACGGGTGAGGACTGTGGAGATAAACCCTGAGTAGAGATCACAGGAACTAGGTACTGTTCTGAGACAGACAGACAAAGAAGTAACACCGAAAGCCGTAGGCTCCAAAAGTTGTGACTGAGTTACAAGTGGAACATCCATTTAAATACCACGTTTCTCCCCAGTTTGCCTGTAAGGGTCCCTGATACAAAGGCTGCGGCAGAGGGATTTGTATTGAATCAATACAACATGAAGTTGTATAAATGTGTCAGTCTGTCCTCTGAGGGAATATCTGCATTTATACTCCACTTCTCTATGTATTCATAAGCTCTCTCTCTTCAAAATGCATTTGGGGAATATAATTTAAGTAAATGATAATGATAAAAGCCAAAGCCAATGTTTATTAACATAATGATCAATGACTTTGTTCTTTGCAGTATTTGTAGCATTAGTAAGTTGCCTCCTTGTACCCTTCTGTATTAGTGTATGATCTTCTTGCTTTCAGATGCTCATACGGTGTATCAATCAGGTGATTCTTGCCAACAGTGAAGCAAGAAAATACATCTCCAGCTTTCCCAGCTTCCCATACATGCATCATTTTTCCTTCCCTTTGCAATTATCTGCTGCCTTTATTTATTTTTAAGAAAAGTAGTATCATGTTATACTAAAAAAAATCTATCCTCAATGAATGTGGGTTATTAGCCATTTATACCTTAGTGTGGATTTCAGCCGCCATGGCTCCTCTCCTAAGGGTGTTTGCGTGTGACCTTCCTGATGGCACAACAGGCTTTCTTGTTTATTAAAACAACCAGATCTGAATGTCTTTATGTTTTTCTTCTTAAGGAGGAAATGGCCTTCCTTCTATTGCTGTCTACCTGGGCCCGCACTGAGCTCATCAGCTAGTGTCCTGGGTGTACCTGCAGAGGCAGAGCAGCGTGAGGGGTGGACACACAGGCAGCTGTGTGTGGGTCCCAGAAAGTTAGGTAGACGAGACGGGATGGGTTTGGGGAGGGAGCGTCACATGCAGTCATGCACAGTGCGCCACTGATAGGCCAAGAGAGTATTTCAGGGTTGGAAAGTGAGTACCTACGGCTTCCCCATAACAAATGCTGATGCAACGGACAGTGGGCAAGTGTAAATCTATAACGACAGCACATACAGGGCTTGCTCCCCCAAAATTACTACCGCATGATTCCCCCCCCGGTGCCTGACAATGCACTGCATCAATAATCGGAGAGAGGAACGGCTGCTCCAGCAGCTGGGAAACCATAACATGCGTTTTGTAGCCTTTGCTTTTGAAACAGCTTTCTCTCTGGAAATGCACTGTGTCCGTGTCTCTGTTTATAGAGTCACAGGCGTAGGTACGTATCCATAAACCACAGAGAAAGCTGTTAGAAGCACAGCCCTTCAATCCAAATTAAAAAAGCATCCAGGTTAAAATAAAGATTTTGGAAATTTATGTCAGATAATTCACTGTAGTATATACGAGTAGTTAAATAGATAAGAAGCTCTAGGTAATTTAAAGTGGCATCTTTTACTATTTTAAAACAAAACATTTTAACAGAACTTAAGTTGAATGAGTACGACAAAAAACGATTGATGTTTCTTCATAAAATATTAATTATAAAACATCAAGGACAGCATAAATTTGTACTCAAAATTACAGCTTTTGTGGCCCCCTACTCTGAAAAGTTAGGACAAGAGCAGCACCCGCCTGTCTAATTCCCACAGGTATTTTTACAGTCTTGCATCTATCCAGTGTATACTCTGTTCCACAACTGTAATTCCTTAGTCATTGTTTTATATTTAAATGATTCATTGGTCAGCACCATGCTTTCTTTCTTTTCATTCATCTTGTTGTTTAGACTGTATTATTTGTATTTTCAAAGACACTCTAGGCTGGACATAACCTAACTTGCCCAAATTCACTGGGTATAAAATTCGTCAGTCATATTTCCCGACAAAACTTTCTTTAAACAATTTTGTGAGGCTGCTGCTTCTCGTTACAGTCGGTGTAGGTCTCTCAGTGCCATGGGACTTCTTTTAGAAAAGGCTGTATCCTCTCGACATCTAAAACTAAGGTGTTGTTTCTTTCTTTGCTCTTATATTCCGCTCTAGATTTCCCGGAATGAGTCTGCCTGAATGTTAGTTATTTTGGGGATATGGCCAGTTCCCCGTGTAACATTTTTGAATCAATATTATTTTTTCTTGTTGCTTTCAGTGACTTTTTTTATAAAAGAGGAGCAAATTAAAATTTTCGATAGTTTGACATGTTTAGGCAACACTTTTGATAGTTTATAGTAACTCACCAACTCTCTCATGCCCATAATCTGATGAATAGTAGAGCATATAAACAGAGTAGCTAATTAGTATTTCTTTTAAATCAAAACTGTATATGTTTTTAAACGTATATCCCTCTACCTTTGCCTGTGCGTCTCTTTCAGCGAGTCTTTTTACTGATGAAGGCCCCTTTATGCTTCTGTGAATCCTCCATCTGCATTGATCTGAACACAATATTCTGTATTTATCTTACCTGTTTTCTTCTCCCCTTTGGTCTTTCTGAATCTTTCTTTGAAATCTCTCTGCTAAATCTCTCTTTCTGTTAAATCTCTCTTTTCTGATACTAGTTTTTCATTCTCCTCCTCTTCTATCACTTTTCCTCCTTATTTTTGCTTTTCTTCTATTCTCTTTTCTCACCTCTGTTTATGTTTTTATCCTTCCCACCTTTCCTCTGCCCCTCTTTCTGTCTCTTCCTCCCTTTCTTTCCATCCTTCTGTATTTATTTGCTTTTATTTCTCCTGAATTGGCTGTGATTTGAATTTAGCATTCCCTGTTTTGCTGAATAAAAATTATGGTCTTTGTTGGTTGATTCTTATTTATTCAGGAAAATATTGTCTTCTCCCTTTTAAGTTGCCGTTCATTGACATTTGTACCCATGTTCCTTTAAAAGAAAAGAGTTTTAAGTTTCTGTCCTTAATCACCTTCTTTTACTCTCTGAGTACTGCAGTCTACTTTGAAATTAGCCTTTACTAATTAAGACCATGACTTTAAAGCCAAAAACTAAAATTTCAGTTGCAAATGTGTAACTATTTTTTTCCAAAGCTTTAATACCAAAGTTAAATTCGGTGTCCTGAGGGAGAAATTATAAAGGGTCATAACGTTTTATGCTGCATTTTCAATGGAAACTAAGTTGTACATTAATAAAGAGAAAAAAAGCAATGGGTAGAAAGTATTCTTTTGCATGCACTGCACACTTATTTGAAATCAGTGTTTTTAAACTTCTTTCTAAGTGATTTTCTGATTAATAAGAATTTCCTTAACTCAGAATTTCTGTTATTTTGAATGCATGATGCCATGCAACTCCAAAAAATTCTCCTCTTTGATTTATCATTTCTTACTTTCTGCCCACATTTTTACACCCCCATTGTGGCTGCAAAAAACAAATGGGTTACAACAGTATTTAGGAGCCCGCTGACAGAAGTGGGAGGAATGATTTGGGGAACCTGCTAGCGGCTGCTGTGCAATAAGGTGTATATTAGGGTTACAGCTGCGGCTATAACAATTCCTACTGAACACACTTGCCGACACAGGGAAGCGAAGCCTCCTTACCCCCTCGCTTGTTGATCTTCGCGTAGCCCGGAGAATAGCTCGCGGACATGGAGGACGAGCTGCTGAAAGCGCCATGGGGAAGTCCGGACACGAGGGGTTCGTCGCATTTTTCTGAAAGAAAGAAAGAGAGAGACAGAGGACGTTAACAAAACTTTTAAATGCCGACGGATGTGTCATCACATTTAAACTGTCATCACATTGGCTCCAGCACAATTTGAAAACGATGACAATTTAGCAAAGGATCGGAAGGCAGGCAACTCGGTGATGGTTCTAATAAGCCACAGGACCAGTTAGTTTAAAGGGAGTGATAACTGTGACACAGTGTCTCCCTCCCAGGGACCTCCGTTCAGACTTGCTCACTCAGGATCACGAGCAAAGTCAAGTTTGGTCCTTCAACAGCCTTTGGAATCTGGCGTCTCCTGGCAATCTTCATCGCAGGGGCAGAGGGTTAGAAACATTGAGCTTGGAGGTGGGAAGACTAGGAAGGATCCCGCCCAAACTACAAGATGAAGAAACAGGTGTCGGGCCCCCACCATGTGAGCTTTCCATTTTATTCCTCACTTGGCTCCTGCAGTGGCTTTAATTTTTTTGTCCTCCCTCTCACTACCAACTTGTTCTCCAACTCCACTGACGGATCTTTCCATTTTTCTTACATCTACACGGTCAAGTCCGAGGAACTCCACCCCTGCTTGGAGTTCTTGTCTGTCTGCTTTCATGGGCTGACAGACAGCATCACAGCCTGCGTCTTCTCAGCCTGGCGCATCCCAAATGCTACACATCGCACCGCCAGGCCATCAGCCCTCTGGGGGGCTGCCCAGTCTGCCTGCTTCCTCCCTTGGCCCCCCTGTACCCCTTCTGCACATTGAAACCAAGGGGACACTCTTAAAAATCTAAGGGGCTCATGTGGCTCCTGTGCTCCAAATAGCCACTGGCTCCCGCTCTCAATCCCTCAGAATAAAGCCTGCACCGGCCGTTTCTCATTCCTGCCTCCTTGGCCCTGACTGTCAGGCCACCAGGACCCCCTCCCCTCCTTCACAGTCACTGTTCCCTCACGCCTCCCAGGCTCTGCTCAGCGCCACCTTTCATCCCTGCAGACAAGCCTAGTAAGTGCACCGGTGGGAAAGAGCGCGATGCCACTGTCACTCTCTGCAGCGGCCGCAGCCGCAGTCTCACTTCCTGCAGGGCACTGAGTGCCACCTGACATGTTACGATGTCACCCGTTCCATTGTTTACGTGACTGGAAGATCTACGGACATCAAGGTTTTGACTGTTTGGCTTGGTGTTTACTCTCCAGGGATCTGCACAGCACAAGGCACTTGATACACACTCTAAAAACATGTGCAGAATTAATGAATGAATGAGTGAATGAATGAAAACAAGAAGAACTAACCTCAACTAACCTCACATCCCGCAGCACACTGCTCAGTTACAATGTGTCACAACACCTGATGTATCGAGAGGTGGTCTCAAGTCCCCGACAAATGTTAGTACACGCCGCGTCCTCTGTTCAGTGACACCGGGAATTGCACTGCATGTTCTAGAATGGTTTCTGCCTCACGTATTTACAAACAAAAAAATAAAAACGCTTTAGCGATAGAAGGAATGAACTAGCTTTCTTGAAAAGTCACTCAGGTGGAGTTAAGTCCCTAATGATCCCGGGGAAACGAGTTGCTATTCATGATCTCGTCCCTCAGGTGTGTACAAATTTGAAGCTAAAATGAACAAATCCATCCTTGTAAAACATTGTTACATTTCTTATTTTTCTTAGTTATGCTGTAAGTGCCTCTGGAAAATATGGTGCATGTGTATGAATATATTCCCCAGAAAGTTAAATGGAAAAGAATAAAAATATAGACATCACATTTGCTCGAAAAGTATCGGAGCACCAAGCAGGTATGTACACTCAAGGCGTTCATATTAATTGTTTTAAAAACTGTACTGTTCCGTGTGGCTACCAGTAAGCCCAAATAAATAAAGCCTTGATTTCCTGTCCTCTGACTCTGTTGTGGTTAACATTTGTTTTGTTTTGTTTTAATTTTTTAAAAGATTTTATTTATTTATTTTTAGAGAGGGAAGGGAGGGAGAAAGAGAGAGAGAGAGAAACATCAACGTACGGTTGCCTGCAACCCAGGCATGTACCCTGACTGGGAATCGAACCTGCGACACTTTGGTTCACAGCCCGTGCTCAATCCACTGAGCTACGCCAGCCAGGGCCTGTGGTTAACTTTTTATAACCTTCTGTCCTAGTTCCACATCCCACCAGAGTCTTTGTTACTCCTAAGCTCCCACTGTACTCAGAATGCACTCATGTTCCCTCATTTCCCTTCCGTTCATTCACACATGCACCAAGCGCCTCTGCCGCACGAGGCACAGGAAACTCGGCCATGGATGAAGTGACAACAGTCCTGTCCTCGTGGCAGAGGACGTCTTAGTGGAAAGAAACAGACTAAACATGAGGTGGTGAGAAATACTACAGAGACATGGCTGTGGGAGAGGGTCAGGGCGCCTGGGGGCACGGGGAGGTGGAGGGAGCGGTGTTGTTGGCTGCCTGGTCGAGAAAAGCCTCTTGATGGGGTGACCTCTGAGGAGAGACAGGAAGGAAACAGGAAGGGGGGAGCCCCGTCGGAAATCCACAGCGCAGGGGGGAGAAACCTTTCTTAGTCCAAGCCTGCTCCCGAGGGTCGTAACAACGAACAAAGTATTTTCCAAAAAGTTAACTTCAATGTGTGCATATGGTGACACTGAAGGTAATTTAAATGAAGTTGATAATAATCGATGAACTGACCCATTAGCTAATTTAAGTTTAGAATGTACATAGAGCATTTATAAAGACTGAAGGTAGTTTTTCCATATTGCATTTCCAGTAAATGGACTCCTGTAAGAAACTGTCACTTTTATACCACATTTTAAATTTGTCACTAATTTTTAAAAATCATATACTTAAGGATAACAAAATTAGAATAGAACTGAAATCAGGATATACAAGAGCACATAAGAGATTATTTGAGTTTTTACGTAAAAGGTGGGTATAAAATTATGATCAGAATTTAGGTACTGGAAATCTCATAATCTCCTAAATTTAGATGTAATTTATAAGAATATAATTATGAAAATGTTACATATTGGTATGTTTTCTTGGAAGAATTCTAATTACACACATTTATTGAGGGTTTTATTCTATACTTCATACTGTTCTAAACACTTTGGGAAATTAAACACTCCTATAAAAAGCTCACTTCCCCACAACAGGTAATAATATATGGCCCCACATAAAGTAATTAAACATGAAAAAACAAGACATAATACCAAACAGTGTGTAATTCAGTGCTGAAGAGAATATCACCAAATACTAAATGGAACAAAGAAATCCAAATGCAGGGCTGTTGTTTAGATGAGTTGCTTGTTCGTCCTGCTCCATCACAAAAGTGTAACCTTGACCATGTCTTTTAACCAACCCCCTTCCTCCACATGACCCACATGCAACATGAGAAAATCATCTGAAGTTTCTCTCAAGCTCTAAAAAACAAGCATTGCCAGCTACTGGTGTCCACTATCTCCTATAGGTCAAATCTGGCACACGGCTTGCTTTTGTAAATAAAGTTTTATTAGATGGCAGCCACGCTCACTCATTCACGTATTGTCTACGGTTGCTTCTCCACAACAGTGAAGTATCCCAAAAGAGACTCCATGGCCTCCAAAACCAAAATATTTACTATCTGATCTTTCCTTAAAAAAAAAAAGTTTCCCAAACTCTGGTCCAGTATAAAAAAATATTCCAGGTATCTAGGAAAAAGAATGATTAATGATCCCTTGTGGTATCAGGTAACGTATAAATGATAATAGAACCTAAAGAGTTGAAGGACTACAGATAGGTGAAGAGAGGATTGAGAATGATCTAGACAGTGACCAAAGGGGGGAGGGAAGGGAATTTTAGGGGAAAAGGGGAAGGGTTTACAGGAACAGGTATAAAGGACACCTGGACAAAAACTAGGGGCAGGGTGGAAATGGGAGGGAGGTGGGGAGGGCTGGGGGGTGGGTGGGGATGGGAGTAAAAGACAGAAAACTGTACTGGAACAATAATTAAAATTTAAAAAAAAGAATGCTCTAGAAAGAGGAAAGCGCTTAGGCAAAATCACAGAAGCCGTAATGGGTATAAAACTTCCCAGAGAGGCTGTAGTAACAGTCCCCGTAGAGACACACTGCCGTCCTGACGATTGTGCTGAACTCCCCATTTTTACTTCTACCTGCGGTAATAGTTATTACACATCACATGTTCCAGAGTCAGCTTGCTTCTTGTGAGGGAACACCTGTCTCTGTATCCTGCAGACATGAAACACTGGGAAGTCAGGCAAATCCCTGCAGAAAGTTGCAGTTTTTATAAAGGAGAGAGAGAGAGGGAGAGAGAGAGAATGCAAACATTTAAAATAATTTAGCATTGTATTTCACCATCCTGGGATGTCTTCCAAAACTACAGCCATGCAGCTACGGCAAATATTTGGTCTTGGGTGGATTTTTCTTCCAGGGAATCTTGGATGAAAGCTAGGGGAGCAGATGGGCCCCGAGTTTTATTTTCACACAATTGCAGTCACTCGGGAAGGCGGACTGGCTGTAGAATTCTGCACTAATTCAGGAGTGGCGGTTGCCCTTTACCTCTAAGAGGTGGGGTCGCTATGAACAAGCGACACGGCAGGAGTTTGCAAGGTCAAACTTCAGAGCACATGTGATCACCATTAGAGATGGCGTTCAAGTGTCTCTCTAAACAAAATAATGTCGATTTTCACGGCAGAGATAATGTCGATTATCTTTGAAAATGATAACACTAAAAAGGTAAAAATATGCTTTATATCACATATTCAGAAACACGAGCCTAATACAAAGAAAAGAGCTAAGAACAGCAAAGGGAGGCCTGAACCAAACAGTGCCATCAGGACAGAAGTTCTAGCGACGTCCTCATCCATACTTGAGGGGAAAAGCTATCATGAAAGGCACATTCTCAGAGCAATGCCTCACTTAATGGTCTCCTCATGTCCCGGGCATTCAATTCCTAACTTTGGAAGCTGAAGCTACACTGCCTCAGGTTTTATGGCAATTTTCCTCCATAGTCAGGCCAA